TCTCAAGTCAACTGACTCACTTAGAATAATTGTATAAATGTGTCCATTGATTATTTTCTAATTGGTTTTTAATATTTTGGCTATTGTAACTACTGCGTGGTAAAAGGTTCATTTGTTGGCAAACCCTCTTAGGCTGTTCATCACCTTTTATGTGTTTAGGGATTTAAATAACATGTGTGCCCCAGATGGGTTGTGACGCCCAGGCTCCCACTTTGTGACACTTCGTCACAGCACCAGAGGCTTCTCAAAGACCCTTAAAGCTCATTTTCAGCTTGTATTCTGGCAATCGCAGATTCAGTCACTCTGACTAAAATTCTCTGTAATGAGAGATTTATATTTATATTCAATATATACTTTGATAGGAGACTTTATATTCTACCTTCTTTTGAAGAGTGAGGTGTAGGAATAGATTTGGACTTAGGTTGGGGGAGAGGAGGGCAGGCACAAGAGTAACAATAGGAGCAAGGATTTAAGTCCATGCTCAATATGAAGTATGGTACCTATTTGCTTTGTTTAACAATGGACAGGTTATTTTGGTTTTCTGAATTATATAAAACATCCCATTCGATTAAATGCCTTATTGATTGTTATGTGAATATCCTATGGGTTGTGGTCATACTGGTCTTAGAAAGAACATTTCCCTTTACCTGGGAAGGACAGCACAGTTATCTCAATAGCTCTGTGATTTTTTGCCTATATAACCTTTGAGCTCCGACCATCTTGTTACTATGAGATTTGGGGAATGGCCCCTCATAGTCCCGGATTGCAATAAATGTGACTCTTTAATTCGACTTCTTGAGGCATCCTTCTGTGATTGTGGGGTACATTACAACAAATATTGATAACTTTCACATCTTAAAATCTAATTTATGTGCTGGTGAGAATTCCACAACTGACACCCTCCTGGCACAGCTGACTTCATAGGGGGACAACTCAGGCAATCACTTCAGTGGTCTGGACTATGTCATGTGGCTAGTCTCACAGCAAAACATAATCAACAGCCCTTGCAATCTCAGAAATGCCATGGCCAGTATAGTAAGCAGTAGTAAAAAAATGAAGCTTCTTAAAATGATATTTGGCCTCTGTAGTCAAAGGAAGACTGGTCTTGCTTGTTTTTTTAAATTAGTCAATCAGAATGTGTCTGACAGTACCTTTTCAGTTTACAAGATTACAGTCGGAAAAAACCTGCTTTATTATTATTATTATTATTTATTATTTTAATCCTCACCTGAGGATATTTTTACATTGATTTTATGAAGAGTGGAAGAAAGAGGGACAGAGATAAATATTGATGTGAGAGAAACACATTAATTGGTTGCCTCCTGCATGCCTTTGACCAGGGCCCGGGCGGAAGAGGAGCCTATACTGGGGTATGTGCACTTGACGAGAATTGAACCTGGGACCCTTCAGTCCGCAGGCCAACACTCTATCCACTGAGCCAAACCAGCTAGGGTGAGAAAAGCTACTTTAGAAAAAAAAAATAGGAATTTTTATTACTTAGTGCCTACTATCTGCTAAATATGTTATAGCATAGTAAGAAGCTAGGAAAATTCCAGGACAAGAGGAATAGGGAAACTAAGACAGATAGTTAAACAGCAATTTGTGGCCACCTAATAAATCCTATCTTCCCTAAACCAAGGACACGTTAAGAGTAAATGGTTTGCACTTCTCCTTCCCCAAACAGCAGGTAAATAGCTTAAATCACCCTACTCTGGGAGACAGATAACAGGAATCCAATTATCGCCATTTGCCAATAACACCCAAGGACAGACAAATTAAGAGAATAAATCTTATTTTGGTATATCTGCATAAAGCTGATGAATATTCTATTGATCCTCCCCTAAACACCCAGCCTTTGGAACCTCTCAAAAGTAAGGTCACTGCAGGCTCTCCCTCCAGGGGGTATACCCATACCATTCCTTTTCCCTTCCCCTTCCCCTACATGTCTCTTAAACTCGAAGGGACCCCATAAGACTTGCAACCAGGGGAGCAATGGGCAATGGCAGCTAGTCCTGGGTTAACCCCCTGAACCTGTCTCCAAGACCCCCTTTTCTCTGACTTCCCAGTGATCTAAGTCAGCCCAGCCTAGGCTCTCCTGTTGTTTCTTCTAAGCCCTTCCTTGTTTCACTGGCCTAAGTGTGTTTTTGTTGCTGTCAATAAATTCTTGCTTGCTTTTCTACACTTGTCTCTTGATTGAAATCTTTCCTTCAAGAAGACAAGACCCGAGGTCTCATCCTCTCACTGGTAACAACACCTAAAAGATTTTAGGGATGGAGTCTGAGTGGGGAATGAGACAGACTAGTAAACCAGGACAACTGGAATAGGGAAATAAATAGTTAAACAGCAGTTTGCAGTCATCTAGAAAATCTAGATGCCAAGTAGTTTGCATCTATCTAGTAAATCCTATCTTTCTTAAACCAGGAAGAGTTAAGAGTAAATGGTTTGCCCTGTGTGGTTTAGCTCAGTGGATAGAGTGTCAGCCCCTCAGACAGAAGAGTCCCAGGTTCAATCCTGGTCAAGGACATGTACCTCTGTTGCAGGCTCAATCCCGGCCCCAATTGGGGGGAGTGTGGGAGACAATCAATCAATGTGTCTCTCTCACATTAATGTTTCTTTCTCTCAGTCTCTCCCCGTCCCTTCCACTCTCTCTAAAAACCAATGGAAAAGTATCCTCAGGTGAGGATTAACAACAACAACAAAAAGAAATCTTTTTTTGGTTTGCACTTCTCCTCCCCAGCCAGAGGGTAAATCGCTTAAATCACCCTACTCAGGGAGACAGCAGAAACTCATTTGGTGCCGTTTGCCAGCCACACTGAAGGACAGATGAAGTTAAAAGAATAAACCTCATTTTGATACATTAGCCAAAGGCAGATGAATATTCTGTTAAGATCCTCCCCTTAGACCTCCCTTAAATGCCCAGGATTTAAACCCCTCAAAAAAAGGTCTGGCCCAGCTGGTGTGGCTCAGTGGTTGAGCATTGACCTATGAACCAGGTCATGGTTTGACTTTCCATCAGGGCACATGCCCAGGCTTCAGGCTCAATCCCCAATGTGGGGTGTGCAGGAGGCAGCCCATTATTGATTCTCTCTCATCAGTGATGTTTCTATCTCTTCTTCTCCCTTTCTCTGATATCAATAAAAAAAGTTAATAAAAAACAAAACAAAAACAAAGGTCTAGCCCTGGCAGGTGTAGCTCAGTTCGTTGGGCATCGTCCTGTGCACTAAAAAGTTGCCGGTTTCATGCCCAGGTTTTGGGCTTGATCCCCAATGAGGGGTGTGCAGATGGTAGCCAATAGATGTTTGTCTTTCACATCAATGTCTCTCCCTCTCTCTTCCTCTCTAAAAATCAACAAAAAAATCTTTTTAAAAAAAAACTTTTAAAAAAGGTTCCAGGAACACACCTGTGTGCCCCCACTTCTTCCTCCAAGGCATGCATCTTCTAAATTCTACGGGACCCCACCCATGAGACTTGCAACAAGGGCAGCCATGAGCAGTGGCAGTTGTCACAGGCAAACCCCTGAACCTGTCCCCAAGGTCCCCTTTTCTCTGACTTCTAAGTGAGCCAAAGCAGCCCAGCCTCAGTTCATTTCCCCAGCCCTTTCTTGTTTCATTGTTTCAACTTTAATAAATGTCTTTTAAAATTAAAAACAAAACAAACAAACAAAAAACCCCAGAGATGTTTAAATTGTCTAAAAAAAAACAACACTCTCAGTGAATTTGGGGAGTAGACTATAAATATAAATATATCTATACCTTAAGAGAAGGTCGGCAGAGGTATGTCTCTCTGGGTTTTCTTTAAGCAGATGGTCATTTATCATTATTTTTTCCTTTGATGTTAGATTCCCCTAAAGGAGTTAGCTGTGGGATATGAGGAGATGGCTAATGCTCCCCTCCCCACTTCTCCTTACAGATACTTGTTTCTGCAAATAGTTTTTATATTGATATTTTGGGCCTTGATAGCACCCCTGAGCTTTATTTCCATGCCTCTGATTAGGTGCTGGCAATTTTCACATAGAAACACCACTATTTTTCACATTCAACATTTACAACACTGAGAGTTTCATCATTTGCCTCCAAATCCTTCCTTTCCTCTGGCCTTCCTCATTTCTCTCTTCAGTCTCTTCAGAAATCAGGAGGCTGGGTGGCTAGACAATATGATCAAGGACCCTCCCTGGTTGTTCTGTGTTTTTGTTTACCCATCTTCAGGGAAGCTGCCTTTCTGATTACAAGATAACAGCAGAGATATGGGTATCACAATGAAACACCCCAATGTGCAAATACAGCAGAGGGCACCTCCTCATGCACATCTAGTCAGAATTAAGAAATCTCCTCTAGATGTCCTTTTGCAGACTTCTCACATCTCATTAAACAAAACTGGGTCACATGCCCGTTGTTAAAACAATCACTGTTAAGGAGTAGACTATTGTAATTGGCTTGGGGTCATCTTTCCTGAGATGTGGATTCCTAAATAAAGTTACAGTTTTACTGATGAGAAAGAAGTAGTAAATAAAAAGAAGGAAGATATATCATCTTGGTTTCCTCCTACCACCTTAGTCCAAGCCCTTGAAACCTCCCTCAGAGTCAACTATAGTAGCTTCCTAACTGATCTCTCAACTTTCTTTTCCTCATAGCCCACCTTACACAATATGGCCACATTCATCTTTGAGGAACACTGCTTTGCCACATAGCCTTTTTGTTAAAAATTATTATTGGTTCTCTGTGACCTTTAGAAAGCACTCACATTTACTATAGAATTTTCAAATCACAGAATATAATAATTGGAAGGGCCAGGAAACTTGGAATGTCAAAGGCTGGCACCAGGAATATCAGCTGTTAGCTGAACTAGGAAACACAGATGTGTGGTCCCACTTAAATATTTTGTCTAATCAGAGGCATGATCTACAAAAATCTCTCTAAAAGAGCAATCTTCAATCTGAGTTAAGCAACATTCCAAGGGATTTCTTTTTAAGGGAATCAGTGTCTAGATTTTCTTTCTCTTTCTTTTTTTAATAGGCTTTATTTTTTAAAGTAATTTTACATTTACAGAAAACTTAAGATAGTACAGAGCTGTCATGTACCTGGCATCAGTTTCACCAATTACTGACATCCTACAGTGGTATGCTGTATTTGTTACATTTCATAAAGCAATATTAATACATTACCATTAACTATTAAAATTTATATTTGCATTTTAATTACCATTACATAAAGTCAAAACAAAACTACTTATTTTGCTAGAAACCTACAAATTCAAATATATGCTGAAAATACATCAGAGTAATTGCTCATGCAGCTATGTGACTAAAAGGGAATAAACTAATAAATTAAGTAAGAGCTTTTCAGGAGCAGATAGCTGGTTACAAACTGAAAAGTACAATGAACTAACTCGGGCATCTAAAAAAAGGAAGAGGTTGAAGTGAGAATGACTTTAGGGTAAAGGACTGTCATACTCATTTAGCTGTTAAGTCCCACAGGAAAAGGGAATGAAATTTAGGTCAGGAATTATTAGCATCTTAGTGGGAGTGTCCATTTTCCCCATCTCGCCCCCCCCCATGCTGCATTATCTTTAATTAAGTACAAAGACTCTTCTAATCATGTCACGTCAGCTCATTTCACCAACTGTTCGGCCGCCAGTCTCTTGTCTCTCTCTTCAGCAATGGTGAGGCAAATACCCTTTCCAGGGGGGAGGGAAATCCATGGTTTGTCGCCTTTGCTGATAACAAAAATTTTAGAGAGCCTGGTGGCAAAGCTATTGCCAGTGGTATCTTTGACATGAACTATGTCAAAAGAACCAGGATGTTTCTCTCTGTTGGTGATCACACCAATTCTTCCCAGGTTGGCACCTCCGGTGATTATACACAGGTTACCGGTGTCAAACTTGATGAAACCGGTAATTTTGCCAGATTCCAAATCAATCTGAATGGTGTCGTCACCTTGATGAGGGGATCAGGGTAGCAGATGGTACGAGCATCATGGGTCACCAGATGAGGGATTCCCTTTGTGCCCACAAAGATCTTCCGCACTTTGCACAGCTTGTACTTGGCCTCCTCAGGTCTACGATGAACAGCAAAGCAACCCTTGGTGTCATAGACCAGACGGAAATTCTCTCCTGTCTTATCAATGAACCGTTGCATGCAGATCTTCTTTACTTCATCTCCTGTTAGGGCATACTTAAGTCTGATTCTTAGGAAAATGATGAGAGGGAGACATTCTCTCAGCTTGTGGGGACCGGTAGATGGGCGAGGAGCAAATACCCCAGTCAGTTTATCCAGCATCCAATGCTTTGGAGCTGCTACATGCTTCAGATGCTTCTTGGGACCACGAGCCATGGCTGTCCTAGGCACAGAAAGAGGACTCTCTTCTTGCTAGTAAAAACGAAATGAAGTTTAAGAAAGTAGTCACCCGCCGTGCCTCAGTCTCCGAAGCAATGGTGTCTCAGTGTGTAGATTTTCAACTTGTTCTTTCTGAAAACTAGCCTCAAGTGTAATATAAATTCTTTATTTTCACCTTCCATTTTGAAATAACCTCTCTTCCCTTTACCCATCCTGAAACTTACCTTGTAATATCATCTCCAGTATCTCGAGAGCTTGTGGGGAGTGGAGGGAAAAGCAAACAAAGGGATGATTTAAAATACTGATTTTGAAAGAGCCTCCTTTAATGATTAAGCAAAATCACCTGGAAGGTCTTTCCATGCAAGGTAAGGTGTAGTGTTTGACCTGGGGTATTTGGGCCTGTGTTGGGAGGCTCTGGATTCAGATATGTTGTACAGTGCAGAGGTGAAGTGATTCAGCATTTCTCGTCCAGATTATTGTCAAAGAATCCATAATTCTTTAGGGAGAGACACATGATAGCAATTCAAAGAACACTTGAAATGCTGAAAATGGTGTCTACCATTTGATTTCAGTTATTCCCCAAACTCAGCCATAGCAGGTACTATTAGTTGGAAAGAATCATCCATGAGTAATGCAAATAGTACAGGTTGTGGACGCTGATGCAGGGCTGAGTGGTACAACAAACACAACAAAATGCTCGCATGCTGGATTCTCACACACCTTCCCTGTGCCATACACTTTTACTAGAACACATGTGAACAATGCTCTTTAAACTGGTGCTGCTTCGGGGATGTGAAAATCCTTTTCAAGTTAACTAAAATGTTTCTGAGACTACTACATTCTCTGCTGCACTAGATAACACTCACGGGTAAAAATTTTACATACTTCCTTTACATAATGTGGATAGAGTAATTAATACTTACATATATGAAATTATATCATGGAATATCGTTCCATTGGTAGTCAATTCTCATCTTAATTATTCTTTTAAAATGAACAAATAAAATAAAACTAGACTTATTAGTATAGAAACAGAGACCAAAGGAATGACTAGCAGAGGGGAGAGAGTTGGAGGGACTAGAGAAAAATGGAAGGGGGATATGGTCAATAATACTGTACTAAGTTTGCTCAGTGACAGATGATTACTAGAATTAGTGACATGATCACAGTGTAAAATATAAAAATGTCGAATCACTCACTATATGGTACACCTGAAACTAATATCTTATATAATAATGAGTGAATATGCAAATAAACTGTCACTCCATCACAAAGATGGCAGTGCCCACAACTGAGGCCAAGTTCCAGTAACGAGCCTTAACAACCAATCAGCAGGGACCTGAGGCTGCGCCCCGGTACCTGGCAAGGCTTGAAGGGGGACCTGAGGCTGAGACCCCACCCACTGGGGCTTGACAAGGGTGGGACCGGCCAAGTCTGGATCTAGCCCAATGGGGGT